TGTGTGTGTGTCCTGCAGTGTGTGCCATGTGCCTGTGACTGAGGGGAAGAGCGTGCAGCAGACAGTGGACACCCTGCACAAGAAACTGGAGCAGCTGGGTGCTGTGAAACAGGGCAGCTTCTGTGTGGACTGTGAGACATACCATGCAACAGGAAATGTCAGCGGTAACATTTCATTCTCTACTTCTTTTTCTTCTTTGAGCATACTCATAGCAAGTCATAGGTTGTATTAGAACAGTAGTCCCCAACCTTTTTCTGTAAGGGTTCCTGCTTAGGGGACATATTTTTATAGATATTTAATACTGTTTTCAAAAGTCTACGATGAACCCAAATAGTGGACTCAGTAACTGCGAGAAGTTTATGTAAAATTAGTGATTTGGATACATTTTGGTCAGATTATTTCCTGTTTGTATTGTGTATTTTTGTTTTACAATTAAACAATCTTACAGACTTAATAGACTTCCTTTCTTTTTGACAAAAGCAATGTTCTTCTTGACCACATTCTGAGATATACGTAAATACTGGGCGGTATACCCGCATTCAAAATCGATGAAGCGCCTCGCATCCGCCCCAAAAATCCGAAGGCTCTTGGCCTAGGTGCGGAGCCGCCGACCCCCTGGTTGGGACCACTGTCCTGACCGAAATCACGTTTACGCTAGGAGATAGGACTAGAATCAATACCAAAATGAAATAATCTTAAATGCAGATGTTGTGCATTCATAAATGTAATTGACAGTACATGAGTGTGGATTGTGTATATAGATATGTGCTGTATACTCAATTATGCTGCTGGTTATTCATCATCCTATAATAGTTTTGTATTTTTGCATGTCAAAGTCAGCCTTATCCTGTAAATCAGTGGTTTTCAAACTGCAGTCTAGGGACCAACAGGGGTCCTTGAGTGGTTTATAGGGGGTTCACAGCAAAAAGGAGGAATCAAATATTTTAACTTTGATAACAAAGAAAGAAACAGGATTGAATGTTTGATCACTGATTGACTTTGAAGACTTTATTATGTTCAAAAACTAAAAATATAAAATGCTCATACATAAGTACAGCACTTGAGTGAATAAACTACTTGACACCTCTGACGGTCTGTCTGGTCCGTCTGTTACAGGTCAGCCCACCAAGCTCTTATACGTGATGCACAACTCTGAAACTCCCCTGAGCTGCATGGCTCTGTTTGAAGGCGGACCCTGCCTGATAGCCGACGCAAACTTTGACGTTCTTATGGTGAAGCTAAAAAGTCACTTCCAAAATGCCAAGGGCCACAAGGTGGAGTGCCGAGGTTCTCGATACCGCTACTGCGACTTCTTGATAAAAGTCGGTACAGTTACAATGAGCTCCAGTGCCAGAGGGATATCAGTAGAGGTATGTACATGAATATAACAAGAGCGTTATGATCATATTTATATTTTCCCACAGTGCGTGCATTCACTCTGTTGGGTTCCTCAGGTGGAGTACTGTCCCTGTGTGGTTCCAGGGGACTGCTGGAATCTCATTAAGGAGTTCATGCAGTCCTTTCTTGGCTCCAGCGTTCCCGAACTGCCGTCTGTGTTTGCTGCCAAGCCCGAAGGACTCTTCGCACCGGCGGACTGCGTTGACACCATGACTCAGTACCTGGAGCTGTTCAACAAACTTCGTAAACTGCAGGCCCCTGGAAGTAACGTGCGTTGAGATGTCGGCGGCGATGGAGAGATCTATTTTTTTATGTTTGTATTAATGTTACTAAAATTCTGGTCCTGTGGATCGGCGTGGTATCTAGGCGTTTTTAAAAGCCTGAAGTTCCATTTTCTGGAGCCTCGACATTGCATTACATGTTCCCATTTAATGAAAACATCTTGTATTAAAAAGACGTAAAGGAGAACACTAGTCTGAGTCTGTTTCTGACCACAATGATCCTTTTATAATCACACTGCATACTTCAAATGTTCTGTTGGTGGGGTTGTAACCCTCTCTACAGACATTTTTATGAGTGTTAAAACAGTCTTTCTAATGGTTTATCTTAAGAGTTCCTGTAATAGGCGGTGACTTATGTTTAATTAGTTGATAACCCTCATTGAAGTATGAACAAAGACATCTGTGTGCATCTGGGCAGAGCGCTGCGAGCAGGAAAACCAGTGGCCCAGTAAACCATGACAATGACTAAATGGAAGTCATGCATCAGTAATTGTATTGTTTACGCCTCTGATTTTCCTACTGTGATGTGTCAAAATGTCTTCACTAAGGAAGAATGAACATGTCAATCAAACGTAGTCTGCTCAGCCCACATAGTCCCGAGAAGATGTCACCTGTGGGGATGGTCTCATGGCTGTAGCAGGGGCCTTTTTATAATGCATCACTAATAATTATCTACTAATGTAATTTATAACCAGTGTATTGTTGGTGCTACAGTTTGCAGGGAAGAAAGTATGAATGAAAAAAAGAAGCTGACACTAGAGGACTTCCATGGTGTTTACTACAAAGTACTGAATGAATAATAGGTTTTTATACACATTTTATTAAAATATAAAACACTACACACATGGTGGGAAAGGTGATGTGTTTTCACAAGCATGGTGCTGGATTACTACTTCACTTAGTTCACTTGAATCCCGATCATCTGCAGGGATAGAGGCTCCTTCCTCACGACCACACCACAGTCAGCTCAAAAAGGAGGCTGCACATACACAAATGCTTTTTATCGCATTACCGCCGAGCAGGTGACACATGGCGGACCCGGGGCTCTCGGGGACACAGGGGGGGGTCAGTCGTCCTCTCAGCCCGGGTTTTCAGTCTCGCCTCGGTTATTGTTCCATGTGGCCTCGGTGGACGGACGGACGGTCCATCCTGCTGCCTGTTGTTCAGCCAGTCCTCCAATGAGAGCCGGGCTGCCGCTCAGTCCCGGTCCAATGAGAGCAGCAGGGTCTGGGCTCGGATCGAGAGTTGGGTTGTTCAATCTGTGAAGGAGGACAACAACCAGCTCTTTGAGTGAACCGGATGGATGGATGTTGGCGATGGTAACGTTGCTCAGATTTTCCATTAATCGGGTGGTACAAATGTAGTAAGGAGCGCGGAGGAGGCCCGGCGTTAACCGGGAGCCTCCGTTAACCGGCTCTCTGTGAGGAAAGTCTGCGGGGAGTTTTTTTTTTTTTTTTCTTTCGCGGTTAACGGCGCAGTCTGCTAGCGAGCTAACTGCACAGTGTTGATAGTTAGTTAACGCCAGTCGACGGGTTCACCGCGATAACGTCCTCACTCAGGCGAGATAGCCGTGCAGCTAACAATAGACACTACAGCGAGCTAATAACACACAAATGTCCGCGTTTAACAAAGTGCATTAATTGTTAGGAGAGCGGTAAAAGGCTCGGCGACGATAATCCCGGGCACAGCCGCCGTAGCTAGCGGTTAGCGGCGGTGGCTAACTTATTGCTCGCAGGGTTTGTTGAGAGCAACAAAGTTGTTGGATGTTCCTGGAGAGTGGCTCACTGACTGCTCTTTGTTCTGCCCCAACATGGTGATGGTGGGGTAGCTTAGCACACACACACACACACACACACACACAGTTGGGTGTTGTAACATTTGTGGATATCACCGCCACATGCGTTCAGAGAGTCTCCTGCAATAAGCGACAACAACACATAGCACGACCTGTGCAAGTTCACTGGAGACATGTTGCACCCACTTGCGAGTTAATGGGGTCTTTTTTCATTCATTTTGTTTGTTTATTTATTTAGTTTTTAGTTTTGAAAGTAGTGGGTTTACACAAAGAGGGAAACAAATACGCGAGAGTAATTGTGTAGCACAGCGCTGGTGCTGGTGAGGCAGACAATGACATGGATTAGGCTTAATTTAAATGGACAGACATTCAACAGCTTTAATGTTGTCTCAGTGGAAACCAGCTCCCTGTATTGTGTTTTAATTAGACATATTTTATGTCAGATATGATCGTTATCAGCCCATATATGCACCATAACAAATATACATGTCATATACTCTGTTGTTCCGATGGCTGCCAGTGATTTGTGCTATTTATTCTATCTAATGTCAGTGTTATTTGTATATCCTGAGCCCAGCACTTGAGTGAAGAAAGGTGTTTTATGAAACGTCTCACATTCATCAAGTGGTTTTTAAACAATCAGGCAGAGACACCCTTTTTTTGTTCAGGAGTTTTCAGTCACATTCAGTTTTCAGGGTCTGGTATTGATTTAATAAATTCTTAAAATTACTTTGTTAATAGTAGATTTTCAAAAGTGAAATTATGACAGATGTTCTGCACTTATTTTCTACTATTGTAAAGGCCCTTTAATATCAGATCCACACTGGTGGATATGGCCAATCAGAGTGCAGGTTTGGGGGATTTCCTAAATGCTGGATATTCTTGAATTGGAGAAATATGTAGTCTTTTGGTGAGCAGCACTTAGTATTGTTTGTAGATTGTTATTCTGATGTTCCCAGTTTTAGTGCATTGTGTCATTATTTAATTGAAACAGCGTTGCGTTATTAATTGGACATCATCCCTGTTTTCTCAGATTGTTCCTGTTGGTTTCGGTGGTGACAGCGGACATGGGTGATCAAACAGTGCTGTTGAGTTCTCTACAGATGTTGTGATGTATTGTCCAAATCCTGATCGAGCAAACTACTTTTACAGTAAGTATACATGTTAATTTCTGTCACTTTCTATACATCACAGTGTGTGTATACCCACTAATAAGAATACTGGTGCCAGTGCACACCGTTAGCATAGCATATGTGTATCAGTGCTTTCACTGGATTATAATGGTCGGATGTTGATCTTTGTTCTTTTGTCCCTGTGTTTCTTGCCTCAGAATGAGTTGCAGCTTGGTTACAGGACGTGTGTCCTATCACTGAGGCCACATGTGTATCAGGAGAGATGGATCGTTGTAAGCACGTGGGACGCCTTCGTCTCGGCCACGACCATTCCATCCTAAATCCGCAAAAATGGCACTGTGTCGACTGCAACACCACCGATTCTGTGTGGGCCTGCCTCAAGTGCTCCCATGTGGCCTGTGGACATTTCATGGAGGAGCACTCACTCAAACACTTTCAGGAGTCACACCACCCACTGGCTATGGAGGTGCGTGAGCTGGATGTCTTCTGTTTCGCCTGTGGAGACTATGTACTCAATGATAACGCGGAGGGAGACCTCAAACTCCTCAGAGGGGCGCTCTCCACTGTCCGCAGCCCAGGTAGGCGCTCACTACGCTCCTCCACTGGTGGGGAGTCCACCCCCTGGCTTGGGGAAGGTGGGCCACAGCCTGCCATGCAGCTGGCCCTGCGTCACAGGAGGAAAGCTCTTCTAGGGAAGATGCTTCAGATGTGGATCAGCAAACATCAGGAGCTGCAGGATCAACGCAAGGAGAAGCTCGAGGAAGCTAGAAGACAAAAAAAAGAAGTGAAAAGGAGACTCATGGAAGAGCTTGGCAGCGTCCCTCCCAGAAAGAGTGCTAGGCTTCTTACTCAGGCGCCACGTTCAACCATCACACTCATTCCTCGCAAATTTCGCGACCCTCCAGAACGCCTACCTCCTCCTCCCAAGAAGCCTTCCCTTCTAACCCTCTCCCGAAAGGCTCCTCAGAATGGCAGAGCTGCCAAACTGAGGAGATACTACTCCACACACACGGTAACCCGCCGGAGACTCGCTCCAGGTGTCACTGGTCTGCGCAATTTGGGGAACACATGCTACATGAACTCAATATTGCAAGTGCTGAGCCACCTGCAGAAATTCAGGGAGTGTTTTCTCACTTTGGACCTGTGTGAGACTGAGGAGCTGCTGGCCAAGACCAATAACTCCCAGGGCATGAAGGGTGTGACAGGAGGTGTAGTCAGCAGCGGTAACACCGCACTGTCGGGGTGCCCTCTTGGACGCATGGGGAAGGCAGGCAGTTGGAATTTGTCCACGGGCAAAAAAGAAAGTACCCCTCCTTCCCCACAGGCTGCGGAGTTGGTCCAGCCCAAGGAGCCTCGGTGCTCCACCCGCCAGCAGATGTCTCTGTGCCATGAGTTGCATACACTTTTCAGGGTCATGTGGTCAGGCCGGTGGTCTTTAGTGTCTCCTTTCGCCATGCTGCACTCTGTGTGGAACCTCATCCCAGCTTTCCGTGGGTACGACCAGCAGGACGCCCAGGAGTTCTTGTGTGAGCTGCTGGACAAGGTGCAGCAGGAGCTGGACACAGAGGGGTCCAAACGCAGGATAGTTATCCCCATCACAAAGAGGAAACTATCCAAGCAAGTGCTAAAGGTTCTCAACACCATCTTTCATGGGCAGCTACTCAGCCAGGTGAGAACATAAACATTTATAGTATGATTATAATGGCCCAAATATTCAGGGTTGGATAAACAGTACATGCATGTATTTCACAAAAACTGCAGATGAGGATTGTTATTGTGATAATAAAAACTGGAGACCTGTACAGCCTTATTTGTTTGCCCTAACTGACCCGTTTTGGTTTATCTTTCCCTTTCCTCATCTACATCCAGGAGCCCTTTAAAAGCTGCCTTTAAACTCATAACAGTGAAAGATTGAGCCCACGTACTGTGAGAAGAATACACAATGACTCTTCTATATATTGAGATCTGATTGTACTCAAAACAGTCATTTGTTCTTAATTTTGAATGTCACTCAAACTATAGACTTTCAGAATGCTGCATCCTTAATACAAAGCTGCGTGGTTACCAAACTGTGTGTTACACAGAAATACCTTGGCTACTGAAATAGATTTTCTCCGTCCATACAACAAGAATCAACTGTACATAATTTTTAATACTTGGATAGGTTACATTTAGAAAAAAAGTGATGTTTTTGTGATCTTATGTATT